TTCTGTCAATACCTCATGCTGATCTCGTGAAGACATTTGACGTGAGGGATCCTACAGCAGTTAGGCTAATGATCTAGCTTCATCCTACATGGGAAGGGCAGGATGATCTGATGCTGGTTGGGTTAAGTCGTTGGTGATTTCTTTCGAACGTGCCGGTTGGGTGTTCGAGTAGTACTAGTATCGACACATGCAGCAAGGTCAGATAAGAGCTCGTTCTACGTTGCGTAGGCTCGGGCAAATACAGCAAGTCTCTCGTCCAGTACCTACAGGGTTAGGCTTAGGGTCTTAACCTACGGACACACAACGCAACACAAAGGTCAGGGCCAGGGTGTTAACCAACGGACCACAACATGCAACATACGTGTAACACACACAACGTAAGGGTCAGGGGGGTCACCAGCAGACCACTGTTGCTCCCACCCGCTTGCTGTTGTAAGGGCAAATGCTTGGCCCATGAGTTAGGGTTAGCAAACACGCAACAAACGTTTGCACACGCACAAGTTCAGGGTCAGGGGGGTTGACCTACAGAACCACAACACGCATGTGTACAACACGAACGGACACAAGGCTTTTGGAACCTTGGGGTTGAGAGTCTTCTTGAAGAACAGGATGTAGACGATGAAGGCGATCAGCGCCGTCTCGACGACGACGTGACCCGGGTCCTCTCGGACCAGGTTCAGCCACCACTCCCGGTACATCTGGGGCAAATTCCACAAATACTGCCTCGCCGACTCCACGTCGAGCACGCCCATGGTGGCTTCCACTGCTGCTGCTGTTTGTGGAAGCCCGCCGCTGCCTGCCTCGATGTGTGAAAGACCCCCCTTGGCGCCGTTTTCCCACCCCGCCTTCCGCGTCCGCTCGTCCGATTGCGCTGCTGCTATCTCGTGTGAACCGTTCGAAGGGGAGGTGGGTGGGTGATGTCGCCGTGTCAGTCGAGACAAAAAAGGGGTACCGGTACACATGAATAGGTGTTACCAAGCTTTTGGTTTCGCAAGGAACTTTGTTTCGATTCGCGTACGGCGGAAGCCGGCGGGACGACATACATGTAATCTGATAATCTGCAGTATACGTTCCCGCGAGAGGACGGTGTTGGCCATATAAGCCAAAGAAGTGGACGGGCTTCCTTGTAACGACTGACCAGATTTCTTAGTCTACTGTAACGGCTGGGTGTGCTACTTACGGCCATTCTTCGTAACAGAGGGGCCGATTGTTGGGCCGTTCTTGGTGCGAACCGAAAAACAGTGGACCAGAGACAATTTTTCGATTAACCCGGCAAGTCAACCTAACCCAAAAAGTCAACCAAACTGTAGCAGTGCAGGTATTTATTCAATCGCCAACTTGCTGTGTTGTGTGGGGCGGAGCTGTACGTTCAGCAGCCCGAGAGGAGCCAAGAGAGCACCCCCTCTGCGGAAATGAACGAACAGAACGATTACGGTCCCAGCACAGCAGAACCCCCTCTATCAACACACGAGGGCGTCCACAGCAGTAGCAGCAGTTCGAACTACGATAGAAATACAGGGTCCAGCCGAAGACAGCGTTCCCGTTCAGCGTACTTACATACAGCTTCTCAGACGGAGAGCAAGAACGGCGCATGGCCACGGGGGCTATGTATACACCGGCGCACAGCACCCGCTGTGCTTCCACAGGGGTAACGGAAAAGCAGCAGGAACGGATGCCCATAAGGTGTGAAGAACACGGTGTGATGATAGCTTGTAGATTCAAGCCTAGACAGTTGTGGTCCGTGAAAACCAGCGCAATTCGAGCCACCGTGACCGTCAAACAGGGAAGGGTGGTGGCTGCATGCTAGCAAACGTTACACCACGGTCGACTGGGGCGCTCCAATGAGGCACGCCCCCTCTGCCCTACAGTAGTGGCGGATCCGACGAAGCATTTCCTATTTCAACCTCTTGGCCCTTGCTGCTGGACTGCTGTAACTCTCGCAATGCCACCCTCACCAATTTGAAGATCTGCACTCCCACCACGCTGATGAGGCTCCTTCTTCACGCCAGTCGTAGTATGGTGGTGGAATAGGAGAACACTTGAGGGTGTAGCTGACACAAGAAAGAGAGGGGTGTGATCTGATGGCCGCATCTCCACCGCTGCAAAAATGCGGCGGAATCACGAATCTACGCCCACCGATTAGCGAGAGACAGACGACCGGATGCCACACACTTTCAAAGTGCTATTGTCTTTCATAAATATACTGTAACAGTTGTCGTACACACAATCTGTCCTCGTGTTCATTGCGATGTGCCTGTGATTTACCATTATTACGTACACCAGTTGCGACCCTTGCCCTTGGGGTGATTGATTTTTGCGTGTGGTGAGAAAAAAAAGGGGGGAAAAATAACCGCAGGCCGAGAATCGAATCCATGCCCATCAGTGGTTTAAATTGTACTTTAGAAGCGCAAAATTGTGGGAGTATTCCGCCGGGAGGAGTCGCGTCCACCTGTTACCGCGAGCGCGGGGTAGGAATGGTGCGCTGCTAGGTCGTTTAACGTTCGTCCGCTGGAGCTGCGGAGTCGGCAGACTGCTCTCACCGGAAGGAGAGAGTTGTGTGTACGTGACAGTGGCGGTCACTGCTTCAGGAGGGCAACCGAACAGAGCGCCCGCCCGCTCGCCAGGGTCCGTGGACCGCGAACTGAGGTACCGAGTGGTACACAATTCCGATTTTTTTCTTTTGTTCTGTCTGTCATTCATTCATATATCTCGCTCTCGCTGATGATGAATGATGATGGATGATGATGATTTTTTTCAGTCGAGGGACGCTTTTAGTGCCGGTTGAATAGTGCCAGATGCCCGGTATAGTGCCGGTAAAATCTCTGCACACAGGCGGAGCTCTCAATAGTGCCAGACCGGCACTAATTAAAGCATGCCCGATATAGTGCCGGTTCGGCACTGCTGTCACCCCCAATAGTGCCGGTACTCCGCACGCGCGAAACACACACACGCACAACCCAGGGCAGAAAACATAGACTCCACACACAGAAATAGGGTACACGTGCTGCTGCAGACCCGAACAGCTCTACACAGGGGCGTACCATGCCCTGTGCGGAAGGTGAACTGTGCCAACTACAGGACACCACGCCGCAAGACCCTCATGGTCACGGCTGCCAGGGAGGATGTGGCGGGCGACTGCACGGCATTTGCGGCAGTGTGGTTGATGTAGGCAACGAGAATCACCGCATCTGCAGCGCGTGCGTCGCCAAAGCCGGCAAGCGCAAAGTGTCAGCAGCAGACAGCACTGGGAAGGCACAATCTAAACGTCCGAAGGCCACGAATGGGGGGAGTAACAAGTCTCAGCTTCGTGCGCGGCCAGATTTCAGCGCCAAGTGTGAGATGCTGAAGCTAATGGATCAGAAGGTGACTCATGAGCAGCTAGCAGATCGCTTCAAGTGCTCGGAACGGTTGGTCCGGGATGTGAAGAAGAACAGGAAGAAGTACGAGACCGAGGCTGCTGCAGGACGCGGAGGAAGCAAGAAAAACGTGCGCACAGGCAATAATCCGGAGGTGCGCTACTCTGCTGTTGTTTTAAAAAAATACGCGTAGTTCCCGCGCCTTCTTTGCCTTTTTTTTTTTGCCGGGCCTTGTTTGCAAAGAGTTTTCGTTTTTGCAAGGACCTTTTTCTGTAGCCTTGTTCGTCTATCTGATGTTCTTGTTCTTTTTTCTTCTTCTCTTGTCAAGTTGTTCCCTGTTCTCTGTTCCCTTTCCCCATGTTTCTTCTATTTCTCGACTGTTACAGTACTTGTTGAGCTTATTCCCTCTCGTCGTTCGTTTGTGTCTTTTTTTGTGTTACCTTTTTTTTCAACTTTCTTTGTTGTTTTATCGTTCGTGCGCTGCTGCGCCAGCATATAAACTTCGAACCAAAAATGTGTANTTTTTTTCAACTTTCTTTGTTGTTTTATCGTTCGTGCGCTGCTGCGCCAGTATATAAACTTCGAACCAAAAATGTGTACTTGTTTGTACTGTACTGGTACATTACATCGCACGCACACCTATTCTTTCAAACGAGTTACAATACATAAATACACATGCGGATG